TAAGCCTTAACAAAAATTGTGGGTACATCAACACAACTTGACTTCATACATTTATAATTCCTAGTTGATGTATTTATAAGTTCTTATAAACAGATTCACTATATTGTCTTGACATTTTAAGGAGAACTTCTATGTTAATCACATTGGAAGATCAGAGTGTCCAAGGCTACCAGGGAAATTCTATGGGAGTTGTGCCACCCATCCCCACTTTAACAGTCCTGACTCTAAACCATCTAAGAAAGGGGTTTGTTTTCTATCACTTCAAAGAGACAACAGAAGCTTCGTTGTTGATTCTTAAGCTCTGCACTCTGTGTACTAAGCCTCGACTATACATCTGAATGAATCAGTTATTAGTTTTGTCAGAGGTAGGAAGAAATCGACACTATAAAATGAACCCCTTTTGAATGAAAAGCGCGTTCTTAGTTTCAAGGTAATTTTCGTTAAGCCTTTTCTGTTTACTTAACAATCTCGTAAATGAAATGTTGATGAAAAGCTAATTGACACCAGATTGCTTTTCCGAGGTATCTCGTCTTATATTTCACGCTGCAGAGAAGGTTTCACGGACATAATCACGATTCATAAATCTAACTGGCAGTCAATTTAACACAGGGCATTTGCAGAGTGCACAAGTCGTGAACTTTCCATTCAATTCTAAACAAAGCATCCTAAATCACAAAAATACAGTAAATTTGCATTTCATTCTTTTATGGTGGATCAATGACGATATTTGCATGCTGGTGTTTTAAATTACTTCGCAAGATTTTTATTACAAATAAAAATTAACTCATGATGAAGGCCAGCACACTGTAGTAAGCGATCGAATGCGCGCTGGATTAAAAATCGTAACTAATACCTTATCGTTTAGCGGTCCAAAATACATTGATCAATATCAAATAATTCAGTTACATCGCGATGAAAATTTATCAACTAAAAACACACTTAACGTCGCCAGACAACGCCATATTGATTTTTTGGTGTGAGTTAATTTTCCGGTAGTATAGGTTCTTCGCGTTAAGGCCATTTCAACACAAAGGGATTTCTGTCCCTTCGTGGGAAATATACAAACCGTTTCACTATTGTTGAGTAATTTTTGCGATTCCCTCCAGCTGCGAGGGTTTATTGATGGAATACAAAGTTTAAGAGGCACTACGTTTCCAAAACAAAGCTCTTCAACTATCTGCCTTTATTTGGGCCTCTCGGAAAACAACTTGATATTAAAACAAAGTTTCGCCAAAACATCGGGGAACCCACAGAAAGAATTCTTGCAAGAACGCAGAACCTTTCAACGAGGTAATCTTCACGTGAGGCTTACATTCTTTCAGTTGGGACAGAAGAATAGCGAGTACGGATATAAGTACTCTCTCTATACGCATGCATGATTTAAGACATACCTTCAAATGATGCCCTCGCACGCGAATAATCTGCATTCGATGATTCGTCGCTCCAAGCAAGGAAGGTGGAAAAATATACGAGAAAGAGCAAACATCGCCCGTTTAATGGAGTCATCTTCTCGCAGTCCTGCAAAATGATCACACAATAGCTATTACAACCTTTTGACAGTAGACGCGATGACTGAATGCATGTCAAAGCAAGGTCAATGGAGCGCGTTTTAAACCGCTTGTAGAGCGCGCATCGTCTAACTCAAGTTTCACCAAACAAACTACGTCGTTTGTAGATAAAATGATTTGGCGCGAGCGTTAGGTGTACAAGCGAACGACAAGTTTCTTCTTATAAAGTCCTGAACGTTTACTATAATGACCATTGACGAAAGTTACCTTTTATATCGCAAAACTCGTACGAAACTTTAGACGAAAATCAACTTCATGGAAACCCGATATGCGTCGACAACTTGCCCCAACAATAACAACAGGTTCTTCGTGTAGGATTATCACGTTTTGCGCCAAAAGCTTCACCTTTCTTGTTGAAACAAGCGCTTGCCCTGTCAAGATCGCAGTGGAACTTCGACTGTTAAAAAGTTCTGGAATTGAATGAATACGCTAGTAAACAGACCAAATCCATATACGGACACAAATCTACTGATGATTTTATAGTTGAATAGCTAATTAGAACTTACCAAGCACACCGTATAAAGCAGTACCCAAACACAATCGACAACCTCGAGTTCTCGCAAATTGAGTTAATGCAACGACTGCTAAACGATCGTCATACGATGTGTTTTTGTGATTTTAGCCACTAAAGCGAAATATTAGAGACTTGGTCAAAGGAATCCCCATAAATTGCGGTCTTTACTCTGTAAAGCTGTGTAAAGATCCCGCAATATTCCTCCGAGTGATCAAAACTTCTTTGACTCGATTTCAAATATTAATCATTGGGCTTCGCAGACGTTTAGTCTCAGTGGTCTCGAACGCATGTTGGTATGTTGACCGATGAAAACACTCAAGCTCTGTGCTATTGGACGGCATAAATCAATACCAGAGTGCCAAAAACATTTGCATTTAAAACCAGTTTGCCGCCCATTTGGTGTATAAAATGAATAGTGACATATTCATTGTGTTTCGTAATTATGCCTTGAAAACCACGCAATCGATCGTGTAAATTCGATTTGAGTTTACATTTTTCATTACCATGATTAAAAATCCTGCGCAATTTTCAAATTTACATGAAAAAGGTCTTCTAAGCCCGTACCTTAAGTTATTCCTTGATTTTCTGTGTGAAGATATGTTACCTCATTCGTGAAGAATTTTTCAGTACACAAGCACTGACCTATTGAGGAATAGCAGAACAGAACTAACGCATGCTGTAATGAACCACGGGCGTTGATATCATTTCACTTTGTGGGCTTCCCTCTTCCTGCGTACTTTTCAACCACTTCCTCTTTTTTTGTTTGTTGCCAAGCAATCTATCAATTCGCCGCCGTTGGTAAACTTTTCAAAATAACAAAGCAATAAACACCCAGTTGAAATTTAATTTCACTAATTGCTTTTTTCCGCGAGCTCTGAGTTAGTTTTAACCTGAAGAAGCGGGGAGTTTATCAACGGCGAACAGCTTGCACTTGTCATTACAGTTAGGTACATGTCCTTGATATATTCAAAATATTGTTCCGTCTGGTCCAAAAAAAGGTTTCGCATGACTATAAAAAGAAAGACCAGCTGCCTCTTTTAACAACGAAAATGCAAATTATGGTCATATTATTTTCTCGTCCTCGCTAAGCTCTAATAGGTAAGCTTAATTTTCAACTCGTTTGTTTGCATTCAGACTGGATCGATCGCTTCATTCAAGGATTCTGCCGGGATTCAGTCCACATATGAGATATTAAAATTCAAAGATAAACGTACTGTTTTTTGCTTGGATATAGATAGACTAGCGCCAGAAGTACCCAATTATACAAATTATATGATGCAAGATTCTTCTTCCTCAATATAATACCTTCCAAAGTTTGAATAAATTCTAATGGCGCAAAACCTTACCAACTATGGCCGCGGGGCGAAAATTCGAATCTGAGGGCGGCCATATAAACCCTGCTTCCGTTGTGAGGGGAGTTTTACGTGATCGGACTAACCACGACCCACCAGGATGCTTTTGTTAGTCAAATTAAACCCAACCACTTTGTAAATACTACATAAGCCCTACATAAAGTTATACCTTGAAATTCAGCGAATTTAGCTGCCGTCGGCAAACCAGTGCCTGGGCTCCGCGCATTTTTGGCCTGCGCGTTCAGAGTTTGGTATTTCTTGACGTGCTATTAGTCATGTGTCATAACTAATAAAATCTTATCACTTAGGTTGCAGATATTTATCCATGGGTGTCACTTCAACCCTCAGAGACTACTCATTCCGGGTCGGTTGTCCACTAAGAACTACTCAAAATCTCTTCATCTTCGTCACGATTTTCCAAAGAACAGCTGTATAGATTATATCGTTGTAGTGTATTGTCATTATTTTGAATTCCAAAGCACTCTTTTAGCGGAGTACTCTCTTCTCAACAAAATTGCACTAAGACTTCCCGCTAACAGCCAAACCGTGCTCTGTTCGTTAGGTTCCTTTCATCTACCTTGGTCCCAGAGGTTTTTCTTGATTTTTCTCCGGATGAGACAGCTGCAAGAGAGCCGCGAGGCGGCGAACACAACTCGCGAAAAACCTCCGGGACCAGGGTACCTTTTATCCATACTTACAGAAAGAATGTACAAAATTAATCTCAATTTTAAGTTAATTGTCCAACATAGATCATGGAGTAATGAAGTGGAAATTGTACCATGCCACACCCTGTAACAATTGTTTGTTCCGACTTGGAATCTTTTGTCTTCACTTTCCGTTAATTGTCTAAAGTGATTTATTCTAAACAGTTATTTCCCACAGTAATTAACTTACGGAAGTTAGGTCCCATCAAGGAGATTGAATCACCAGAAATGCTTTAGCCTCCTCCAGGCATTCAGCACTTTCAGTTAGTTAGGGGATAGTGGGAAAAACGGTGAAGCGAAATAAAGAAGAGAGAGGCTTGGTGCGACGTTCTCGTGCCATTTTTCGCGCTGTACCCTAACTGAAGAGGCTAGAAGTTTTTATGTGAATGACATCAGCAGAACCGCCGGAAAACGTCGGAAGATCCGAAGTTCCGCAACGAAAATTTGACACGATTCAGTCTGAAATACGTGGCTTAGATAAATCTGGGAAACAGTTTAAAAAATTTTCAGAAAAATAAAGGAAAGGGAATTTTAAAGTGCAGTTTATCCTTTGCCGTTATCTAATGTTGGGTAGGTAACTGCAAAGGAGGCGCGTTACGTTAAAATTTCACGGACGAAAAAATCGCTATAGATCGAGAGAAAAATAAGAAAAACTTAAATAGGTATGTTAATAAAATGACGAACTCTAGTATATCTAGCATTTCACTTGAAAAAAAAAAAGAACAAAAAAAGGTCGGAAAGCCTTTGAGCCATGCTTGAGACAACCGTGCATGTCTAAGGCCTAGTTCAGACGTCGTGCTTCTGCCGTGCCGAACTAAATTGCAATTTGGTTCGATTGTAGCACGGCAGGAAATCNTCTGTAACAGCCATCCCAACCTTCCAATCGTACATCGGTATAATATCATACTTCTTTAATATACTAAGCCTTAACAAAAATTGTGGGTACATCAACACAACTTGACTTCATACATTTATAATTCCTAGTTGATGTATTTATAAGTTCTTATAAACAGATTCACTATATTGTCTTGACATTTTAAGGAGAACTTCTATGTTAATCACATTGGAAGATCAGAGTGTCCAAGGCTACCAGGGAAATTCTATGGGAGTTGTGCCACCCATCCCCACTTTAACAGTCCTGACTCTAAACCATCTAAGAAAGGGGTTTGTTTTCTATCACTTCAAAGAGACAACAGAAGCTTCGTTGTTGATTCTTAAGCTCTGCACTCTGTGTACTAAGCCTCGACTATACATCTGAATGAATCAGTTATTAGTTTTGTCAGAGGTAGGAAGAAATCGACACTATAAAATGAACCCCTTTTGAATGAAAAGCGCGTTCTTAGTTTCAAGGTAATTTTCGTTAAGCCTTTTCTGTTTACTTAACAATCTCGTAAATGAAATGTTGATGAAAAGCTAATTGACACCAGATTGCTTTTCCGAGGTATCTCGTCTTATATTTCACGCTGCAGAGAAGGTTTCACGGACATAATCACGATTCATAAATCTAACTGGCAGTCAATTTAACACAGGGCATTTGCAGAGTGCACAAGTCGTGAACTTTCCATTCAATTCTAAACAAAGCATCCTAAATCACAAAAATACAGTAAATTTGCATTTCATTCTTTTATGGTGGATCAATGACGATATTTGCATGCTGGTGTTTTAAATTACTTCGCAAGATTTTTATTACAAATAAAAATTAACTCATGATGAAGGCCAGCACACTGTAGTAAGCGATCGAATGCGCGCTGGATTAAAAATCGTAACTAATACCTTATCGTTTAGCGGTCCAAAATACATTGATCAATATCAAATAATTCAGTTACATCGCGATGAAAATTTATCAACTAAAAACACACTTAACGTCGCCAGACAACGCCATATTGATTTTTTGGTGTGAGTTAATTTTCCGGTAGTATAGGTTCTTCGCGTTAAGGCCATTTCAACACAAAGGGATTTCTGTCCCTTCGTGGGAAATATACAAACCGTTTCACTATTGTTGAGTAATTTTTGCGATTCCCTCCAGCTGCGAGGGTTTATTGATGGAATACAAAGTTTAAGAGGCACTACGTTTCCAAAACAAAGCTCTTCAACTATCTGCCTTTATTTGGGCCTCTCGGAAAACAACTTGATATTAAAACAAAGTTTCGCCAAAACATCGGGGAACCCACAGAAAGAATTCTTGCAAGAACGCAGAACCTTTCAACGAGGTAATCTTCACGTGAGGCTTACATTCTTTCAGTTGGGACAGAAGAATAGCGAGTACGGATATAAGTACTCTCTCTATACGCATGCATGATTTAAGACATACCTTCAAATGATGCCCTCGCACGCGAATAATCTGCATTCGATGATTCGTCGCTCCAAGCAAGGAAGGTGGAAAAATATACGAGAAAGAGCAAACATCGCCCGTTTAATGGAGTCATCTTCTCGCAGTCCTGCAAAATGATCACACAATAGCTATTACAACCTTTTGACAGTAGACGCGATGACTGAATGCATGTCAAAGCAAGGTCAATGGAGCGCGTTTTAAACCGCTTGTAGAGCGCGCATCGTCTAACTCAAGTTTCACCAAACAAACTACGTCGTTTGTAGATAAAATGATTTGGCGCGAGCGTTAGGTGTACAAGCGAACGACAAGTTTCTTCTTATAAAGTCCTGAACGTTTACTATAATGACCATTGACGAAAGTTACCTTTTATATCGCAAAACTCGTACGAAACTTTAGACGAAAATCAACTTCATGGAAACCCGATATGCGTCGACAACTTGCCCCAACAATAACAACAGGTTCTTCGTGTAGGATTATCACGTTTTGCGCCAAAAGCTTCACCTTTCTTGTTGAAACAAGCGCTTGCCCTGTCAAGATCGCAGTGGAACTTCGACTGTTAAAAAGTTCTGGAATTGAATGAATACGCTAGTAAACAGACCAAATCCATATACGGACACAAATCTACTGATGATTTTATAGTTGAATAGCTAATTAGAACTTACCAAGCACACCGTATAAAGCAGTACCCAAACACAATCGACAACCTCGAGTTCTCGCAAATTGAGTTAATGCAACGACTGCTAAACGATCGTCATACGATGTGTTTTTGTGATTTTAGCCACTAAAGCGAAATATTAGAGACTTGGTCAAAGGAATCCCCATAAATTGCGGTCTTTACTCTGTAAAGCTGTGTAAAGATCCCGCAATATTCCTCCGAGTGATCAAAACTTCTTTGACTCGATTTCAAATATTAATCATTGGGCTTCGCAGACGTTTAGTCTCAGTGGTCTCGAACGCATGTTGGTATGTTGACCGATGAAAACACTCAAGCTCTGTGCTATTGGACGGCATAAATCAATACCAGAGTGCCAAAAACATTTGCATTTAAAACCAGTTTGCCGCCCATTTGGTGTATAAAATGAATAGTGACATATTCATTGTGTTTCGTAATTATGCCTTGAAAACCACGCAATCGATCGTGTAAATTCGATTTGAGTTTACATTTTTCATTACCATGATTAAAAATCCTGCGCAATTTTCAAATTTACATGAAAAAGGTCTTCTAAGCCCGTACCTTAAGTTATTCCTTGATTTTCTGTGTGAAGATATGTTACCTCATTCGTGAAGAATTTTTCAGTACACAAGCACTGACCTATTGAGGAATAGCAGAACAGAACTAACGCATGCTGTAATGAACCACGGGCGTTGATATCATTTCACTTTGTGGGCTTCCCTCTTCCTGCGTACTTTTCAACCACTTCCTCTTTTTTTGTTTGTTGCCAAGCAATCTATCAATTCGCCGCCGTTGGTAAACTTTTCAAAATAACAAAGCAATAAACACCCAGTTGAAATTTAATTTCACTAATTGCTTTTTTCCGCGAGCTCTGAGTTAGTTTTAACCTGAAGAAGCGGGGAGTTTATCAACGGCGAACAGCTTGCACTTGTCATTACAGTTAGGTACATGTCCTTGATATATTCAAAATATTGTTCCGTCTGGTCCAAAAAAAGGTTTCGCATGACTATAAAAAGAAAGACCAGCTGCCTCTTTTAACAACGAAAATGCAAATTATGGTCATATTATTTTCTCGTCCTCGCTAAGCTCTAATAGGTAAGCTTAATTTTCAACTCGTTTGTTTGCATTCAGACTGGATCGATCGCTTCATTCAAGGATTCTGCCGGGATTCAGTCCACATATGAGATATTAAAATTCAAAGATAAACGTACTGTTTTTTGCTTGGATATAGATAGACTAGCGCCAGAAGTACCCAATTATACAAATTATATGATGCAAGATTCTTCTTCCTCAATATAATACCTTCCAAAGTTTGAATAAATTCTAATGGCGCAAAACCTTACCAACTATGGCCGCGGGGCGAAAATTCGAATCTGAGGGCGGCCATATAAACCCTGCTTCCGTTGTGAGGGGAGTTTTACGTGATCGGACTAACCACGACCCACCAGGATGCTTTTGTTAGTCAAATTAAACCCAACCACTTTGTAAATACTACATAAGCCCTACATAAAGTTATACCTTGAAATTCAGCGAATTTAGCTGCCGTCGGCAAACCAGTGCCTGGGCTCCGCGCATTTTTGGCCTGCGCGTTCAGAGTTTGGTATTTCTTGACGTGCTATTAGTCATGTGTCATAACTAATAAAATCTTATCACTTAGGTTGCAGATATTTATCCATGGGTGTCACTTCAACCCTCAGAGACTACTCATTCCGGGTCGGTTGTCCACTAAGAACTACTCAAAATCTCTTCATCTTCGTCACGATTTTCCAAAGAACAGCTGTATAGATTATATCGTTGTAGTGTATTGTCATTATTTTGAATTCCAAAGCACTCTTTTAGCGGAGTACTCTCTTCTCAACAAAATTGCACTAAGACTTCCCGCTAACAGCCAAACCGTGCTCTGTTCGTTAGGTTCCTTTCATCTACCTTGGTCCCAGAGGTTTTTCTTGATTTTTCTCCGGATGAGACAGCTGCAAGAGAGCCGCGAGGCGGCGAACACAACTCGCGAAAAACCTCCGGGACCAGGGTACCTTTTATCCATACTTACAGAAAGAATGTACAAAATTAATCTCAATTTTAAGTTAATTGTCCAACATAGATCATGGAGTAATGAAGTGGAAATTGTACCATGCCACACCCTGTAACAATTGTTTGTTCCGACTTGGAATCTTTTGTCTTCACTTTCCGTTAATTGTCTAAAGTGATTTATTCTAAACAGTTATTTCCCACAGTAATTAACTTACGGAAGTTAGGTCCCATCAAGGAGATTGAATCACCAGAAATGCTTTAGCCTCCTCCAGGCATTCAGCACTTTCAGTTAGTTAGGGGATAGTGGGAAAAACGGTGAAGCGAAATAAAGAAGAGAGAGGCTTGGTGCGACGTTCTCGTGCCATTTTTCGCGCTGTACCCTAACTGAAGAGGCTAGAAGTTTTTATGTGAATGACATCAGCAGAACCGCCGGAAAACGTCGGAAGATCCGAAGTTCCGCAACGAAAATTTGACACGATTCAGTCTGAAATACGTGGCTTAGATAAATCTGGGAAACAGTTTAAAAAATTTTCAGAAAAATAAAGGAAAGGGAATTTTAAAGTGCAGTTTATCCTTTGCCGTTATCTAATGTTGGGTAGGTAACTGCAAAGGAGGCGCGTTACGTTAAAATTTCACGGACGAAAAAATCGCTATAGATCGAGAGAAAAATAAGAAAAACTTAAATAGGTATGTTAATAAAATGACGAACTCTAGTATATCTAGCATTTCACTTGAAAAAAAAAAAGAACAAAAAAAGGTCGGAAAGCCTTTGAGCCATGCTTGAGACAACCGTGCATGTCTAAGGCCTAGTTCAGACGTCGTGCTTCTGCCGTGCCGAACTAAATTGCAATTTGGTTCGATTGTAGCACGGCAGGAAATCAACTCTGATTCAGACGTCGTGCCAGAGTCGAATCAAATCCAGGGTTTACTGAAGCCTCGTAACAATTCTCCTTCTAACTCCCCGAGGGAACGAAATCTCGCCAAAACACATTGACATAATTTATGGATTTCGTTTGGCGCGACAAAAGCACGACGTTTGAATCGCTGCCGTGCCAGAGTCGTGTAACACAGCAGAGCTTGTCGAACTTAATTGCTTGCCGAACTTAATTCAAAAGTTTGATTCAGACGTCGTGCTTCTGCCGTGCTTTTGTCGAACTTAATTCCTGAATTTAGTTCGGCACGGCAGAAGCACGACGTCTGAACTGGGTCTAAACCTCTATGATGTCATTCATTAAAAATATTTCGTGTATTAAATCGGGAGCCATGTCATATGACAACCATACGAAAAAGCATCATCGAACCGACAAAAAATGTATAAAGGAAAATGAAATGTAAAATATCCTCGCAATTTTAATAGCTTTGTAGCAATCCGAGAGGAAAACGAATTCTATTGTAATAGCCGAGTTGAACGTAATCATTAATAATATCAATCTACTTTATTTATAACGCATTAGATCAGTGATATCAGATGGCAAGCTAGGCGACTATACAATATTTTAAATCTACAAAAATATTGATAATTCTTATCTCGATCTATCAACTGTCGAACGACAGAACAAAAGATTTGCCGGTCAAATCTTTAAAAAACCCCAGCCTGCTTTGAACAAAAAACGTTCCCTTAATATAACTTGAAATTGTACATAGAACAGCCACTCTTGAAGTGAGTCAAACATAATAAATAACTGGCCAGTTCAAAGTCTTTCCCTGTTTTGTACGATTAAAAAATACATCATAACTCTGCTAAACGTGTATACGTACCTCTCGGCTAAAATACAGGTATTTTTTCTTAATCAGTTCTGGAGTATCAAGACCACGAGCTGAATGAATCGATCCTTTCACAAACCTATTAGACGAGCTTAACTGAGCATGAGTTTGTTATGTCTAAAACAGGACATATTCTCTGTTCCCTAGAGCGCGCTTTGTTCTCTTATCAATTACCACTGACCACCTGTCAGTCTCATAACAGTTGACACTCCCCTGTATGTGACATAAATATCCAGATCTGTTATCCCTAAGACCCTCAGTCCCTGGGCATGTCAGATGTGTGGTCGAACTTATTTTGAATTGTACATGTTGTAGATACGTCAGTTATTTGAGTGAAAGCACCTTGAATGACTTATTAGAAAGTCCACTTAAAATGTTGGGTTGGCATCTACTCTGACCTCGCCACCAAAGCTCATTCTCTTATCCGAAGATTATTTTAATCGCAAACTGTGATCTTTTTTAACACTACGTACTAGCAAAGATTCAGTTTTGTGCTTTCCTTTGTTGAAAAGATGCTCCTTTCGTCACTTTGAGAAATAGTTCTTTTAAGTAGGCTTACAGAAAGGACATGAAATTTTCATCTGATCAGATAACGTCACTTCACAGTGCTTAAGGTATAATTAGGAGAAAATTATCTCTTGCCACACCCTGTAATAATTGTATTTTCCCGTAAGTGAACGCTTTGATGCTCCTTCTCAATCAGAAACAATGAGTAACCAACTTTCTTTGTTTGCTTTTGCTTGCTGTTTTGTTTATAAACTTCAGAAAACTGAGGGGGAGGGGGCGAAATGTGGAAGTATTTAGGGGGTTACAGACGGCTAGGAATCTCTTTTCTTTTATTGCAAATGGAGTTCCTGTATCAAGAAGATCATGCTCATATACTGAGACAACAACCAGAGTCATTTAAAATTATAAAAAATAGAATGCATGCATAAAATTGTCGGTAATAAATAGAGGGCTGCTTAATTTCTCATGAATGCGTAGGCTCGACTTTCGTAGCGGAAGAGCGCGGGCTCCTTCACGAACAGCGGCTGCTATTCGAGCCTACGTATGCACTGATGATTTAAATTACATGCGAATCTGATCCTCACCAGGCGGCCTACGTTTTAACTTTCTTGGAAGTCGCCGATGAAGCTTTTTTAGCTGAAAATTGTTTTGCTTAAATGACTTGAGCAAGTCCTTAAATACAGGCGGAAGAAAGTAAAACTGAAAAAAAGTCAGAAAGCGTACGGAATATGTCTGGTGCGTTACACAAATTTTCGTGTTAAGAAGGAAGAAATGAAATTCTTAGAAGAAGCGGAACTGTTATGATCTTTAGAAACGGAGGTTGCAATAAGATCATGATATTGTGGTTTTCTTTCAGGGTGCTTCTCTCTCAACTAAGTTAAACTTTCCTCTTTTGGCTTCATTCCATTTCAAAACTGTTGTGCTGTACTTTGTACTGTTGTTCTCTTTGATATACACAGGAATTCGACATTAACGAAAGCTTAATTTGCCAGCAGTGAATATCCGTGGCACACGCCGTCAACAGTCACAAACAAAGCAACTCGGTCTTCCTTGTATCTCGTAGCCGTGATGGCAGATTAAATCACCTGGTATTTTGTGAAAGTTTTAAAAGTACATCATTCGCTTGAAAGTTTGAATATAAGCTCATCACCGTGATTCTCTTTAAATGAAACCTTGCAGAGTAAAACCCGAGGAGAGAGAGAGAGAGCAACTTGTTTAAAATCTCTTTAATACAGTGTTAACATCTGCTTCGCGTTTGACGGACTGACAATGGTTAAAGTCCTTCACGATCATCCAAAAAAAAAAGTTCAATCGAAGCTAGCCAAGAAAAATTCCAAAAAACTTTTCACTACTTACCTGTAGCGCCCTGTCTGTTTACATGCAGATAACAATTAAACCAATTCTTCTCAGCCCACGAACGGAACCAATAAAGGGGTCGCTTTCCTTTACATGATATTTATGGAATGCGCACAGGAAGTCGAAATGCGACAACTACTATCATCTCAATAGATCAATTCTCCTAACGTGTTGCCTAAAACTAAAAGTTTCGGGTTAATGCTAATTTTAATACTTTCGTCAGTATTCTTTCGTTATAATACAAAGAGAAAATTCGCACTATGATTACGCCGCTGTAGGAAGTTTTAGATTTTTCTTGATAACTCCATCACGGAAGGGATTTTTCCAAAACCCCCCCCTCCCCCAACCCTCTGGAAATTCCAATTAAGCTTGATACATTTCTTTAT